TAGATCCGCGAAAAAAGTAATCTTTAATCGCAAATATAGAAATTGGATGGCATTTTTTGAATTCGCTAATACTTAAAACGCGGATGAAGGAAGCGCGAATAAAGAGCTTTTACTGATTACAGATTTAAGTCCACATTGACATTTGACGTGTATCAGAGTGCTAAATCGGCTATCGCTGAAGGATAGTTCTTGTCCCTCACCTTCGTGTTTCCAAACGCTGCCCTAGCGGTCTGTAGGATACGGCAATGATACGACAACGTCTGTTATAAATAAAACTTTTCACTGATGGTAGGACCTCTTGGGAGTCCGCACGGGTAGGTACCACCACTCCGCCTATTTCCGCCGTGAAGTAGTAATGCGTTTCGGTTCGAAGGGTGGGGTAGCTGTTGTAACTATACTGACACCTCAGAACTTATATCTCAAGGTGGGTGGCACGTTTACGTTGTAGATGTGTATGGGCTCCAGTAACCACTTAACATCAGGTGGGCTGTGAGCTCGTCCGTCCATCTAAGAAAAAGAAAAAAAATCTAAACTACAACGCCTACTTCGGAAACTTTCAATCGCTTTTCCCCTCCGACCTCAACAGCAAACGACTCGAGACAATTAATACCGAATCTTCTCACACTTTCTAATGCCGTTGCGTGGTAGCCAGACGATGATATCGCTTTATTTGTAATGGCGCCCGGCACTGGTGAGATCACGATGCAGTTGGGTTTAGCAAAAAAAAAAAATCTGTAGACTTTCGTTTGTTGCACGAGCCTTGAACGTGGCGGTTCTTGGCGGTCGAAATCAGAAAAGCGTGACGTATGCGCTTACGTACAAATAATTCTGAATCTTTTTTTTTATTACTTATGCTAATAGCCTTGAGAGGCTATTTCAGTTTCTCCTTGACGTGTAGGTGAGCTTACGGGTCTCAAACCGAGAGTGTTGCTAGCAATGATGCTAGCAAGAGCAGTGTTTCGCAGAATCTACCATTGGATCCGAAACGCGACCCACTGAGAAGATCCGGCGAGAAACTCAGCGGGCTGTGTCTATGGGTTAATTCACTATAGGACGGTAACCGGTGGTTATGAGTGAAACTTAGCTGTGCACTATTAGCTTATCGAGGAAAACGTGAAGGAAAGATTACCTGAGAGTGCGAAAATAATAATTAAAAACAAATTTAGGAGTTTCGCGACATTTAACAATGTTTATCCAATCCACTGAGTTTCTCATCGGATATTTTCATTGGGTCGGGATTTAGATTCGGTGGTAGAATAAGCGAAGCACTGCTCATGCTAGAGCTAGTGTTAGGAATTCTCTCAAATTGAGCCCGTGAGCTCACCTAGCAGTCCGAGCGTAGCCGTGTTAGTCCGATAGGCTACCAGCGATTAGGAGGGGATAAATAAATCATGCTTGTCCAGCGAAATAACTCATCAATGTTATCGTGATATTTTCGCTAGGAACAGCTAAATGTTTTTGAAGAATATAAGTTGAAGAACATCCATATTTACAAATTGCAAATTCATCCGTGAAATAAATAAGGATAAAAATAAAATATGAAAATTAACAAAATCAATCGAATAACAGACGAAAAAACGTAACTTAAGTATATTGTCTTTATCTATTTATTACATACAGAGAACATAAATTGTGATTCTTTATAACAATATTTTTTTCCTACTATTGACTACTTATTAATATAGAGGACAACTTCGCATAAGCAACTTTATTTGAATACACACACCAATTATCTTCCTAATTGTACGTGTCGAACAACCAAATAATAAAGAATATTTATTAGTTCGATAAAATAGAAAAAAAACAACAAAGGTTTACCTATATGTTTATTTCAGTGATGACGTCACTACGGGTGCCCATTATAAACGCATTATCGTTCAATGGGAAACGCGTGGTAACACCAGGTTTTCGGAGTGCAGTGCACATATCGACACAGTCATGCCTTCCCTTTGTTTTTGTTTTCCTACCTGCGCTGATAGCCTTGAGAGCCTACTTCAGCTTCACCCTAACGTGTAGGTGAGCTCACGAGGCTCAAACCGGGAGTTTTGGTAACACTGGCCCTAGCAAGAGCAGTGCTTCGCAGAATCTACCACCGGATCGGAAGCGCGACCCACTGAGAAGATCCGGTGAGAAACTCAGTGGGCTAACCTTTCCGTTATTCTACAAATACTTTGCTCCTTGATACTTGATTCCGATCTGGTGGTAGATCCAGCGAAGCACTCCCTTTGTTAGGCCTAGTGTTACAAAATTCGCCAGGCTGAGCCCGTAAGCTAGGATTATCACTCGTAGTTACTAGCATAGGTAAGAAAACAAAAAAAATCATCAACTTATTTACAGGAATTGTTCGAACAGCGACGTCCGCCTCACGAAAGACAATGTAGCTCGTTTATAAAACAGATGGTCTTTTAAGTGAGGTTGTTATTCAAATTAAATAGCTCAATTTGTGTAATTTACGTTGTACGTACGTGGTTCCAAAATAGTCGGCGATGGGTTTTAATTCAACGGCTAGTTTCGTTAACCTCTTGTCTTTCTATTCATATCTGTGCAATGTTCAAATTTGAAGCAGATAAGGTATTTTTATTTTGTTAATTAGACGACCATGAAGTTTTAATTTTATGATATGATGGCTGCCTCATCCGACAATCGGTAAGCATTATTGCGTCGCAGCAGATAAAGCGGGACGATGATACTAATCCGCATTGGCTTCCACGTCCGGTGAAGCTAGAGTAACCCTTCTAAGTCACTAGCAAAAGTAGGTATAAAAAAGTATTGGCTTACAACACGCAACACGTCCCAAGTTGGATTTATTATTTTCCTTAAAAATCTATAAATCATGTGTTTATGATGCAATCGATTTCTTTACTATTTACACGTGCTAATAGTGAGGCGTTAAAAGTATGATTCATTGAAGGCACAATAACCCTACTACTAATATTGTTCGGAAAGTTTCTAATGACGCTTATTAGTTTTTCACACGAAACAACTGGACGGAGTTTAATGAAACTTCACAATGCATTTGAATAGGACACGGGCTATAGTAGAATATGACCAACGCACTGTTATCCGAACAAAAACTGATGTCTTAATAAAAAATATTTTGAAATGATGCTATAATAAATTGGATATTTCTTTGGGATTAAAAGTTCAGTAACTGTTTACTTTTGGGTCTCATCTGAACTGACGCTAGAGAGCTCTAGAATAATGAAAACGTCTGTCTTATAGTTAAAGGACGACTTTTAATTGATCATCCTAACAAATCAGGGATATAAATGCAAGACAGGTGGCGCGCGATTACTTTCGAAAAAATCGATGTTTCTCATACAATTAGCGATAGTGTCATACATGTCATTACGAATCCTCCCGATCCATTAACAGTGCTTTTAGGTGCCTCAAGCACCGGTCACCGTCCTCGCAGAGCCAATCGCTGGCGAATAAACGCTCAGCGAGTAAATTGATCCATAGACCCCACTCACTGAGTTTCTCGCCGGATCTTCTCAGTGGGTCGCGTTTACGATCCGATGGTAGATTCTGCGAAGCACTGCTCTTGCTAAGCCTAAACGCTAGGGCAACATTGATATAGCCTCTCACGGCTATCAGCATGGGCAAGAAAAACAAAAACAAAAAAATGGTATCAGCGGAACGTGACCGAGTATTAATTGTTAATCATAAAAAGTAATAGGCAAACTCCAATAAAGTTTTAAGTATCTGCTGCAAATACACGACATGTACGCGATAGTGTCGGTATTACTATTTTCACTGCCCGTATAATTTCCAAAAAGTAGTCGATTCATGGTGATATGCTGAGTCTAAATGTAGATAATTAACTTCGGCAATTTATTTCGGATGATCCAACTAGCGACATCTATTAGTGGACTTTCAAACTAATACGCATTTACGTCGTCCACAACTAGATGGCACTACATGTCAGATGTATAGATATTTCTCTCAAGCAAAATAAAAATAAACATTAAGCAGGTTTTGCTTGTCTTATATTTAATTTTTGTTTTTACCTACACTATAAAAATATGTTTTAAGATTCATCGTGGAACATAAATGTTCTATTTCATTCTTTTTTGTTCAGAATTGGACTGTAAATTAGTTCACAAATCCTGAATTAGTCATAATCTATAATCTTACCTGATTACAATCGGTCCAGATATTATTATGAATAGTTAATAAGAAACCGAACAAATATGACTCGGTCATATGGGTTCCAAGCTAAGGTTTCCAGTTCTATGCGAAGCAAATACAAGCTCAAAAATACGTGCGAAAAAAAAACAAGTTTAACTGTTTAAGACAGACGAAGCATATATCTCTTTAGTGGAACGGCTATCAACAATCGTGTCGCGACATTTACAAATAAGACAATTTTATTTAAAGTGACTGGAGGAAATGCATCTCTGTTATACGTATGGGGCAATTAAGTAACCATTTAATGGTCGTTTAATAAATAAATTATGTATATTATAAAACGTATCAATACTTACTGGATGTCACGAATTGGTAAAGAATATATTGTGATGTTGAGTAGAAAAAGGTTGAGAGCCGCTGACCTAATGAGTGATTATGGTCTCCCATAGACATTAACAACGGATAGTGCTCGAACCGCTGCCTACCTTCTCCTCAAACCTCGTTTGAATATTAACAACAATCCTCTATTCGCCTGTTCTTAATAGCTCGTATTTTACTGGTGGTAGGACCTCTTCTAAGTCCGCGCGGGTAGGTACCACCACCCTGCCTATTTCTGCCGTGAAGCAGTAACGCGTTTCGGTTTGAAGGATGGGGCAGCTGTTGTAACTATACTTGAGGCCTTAGAACTTGAATCTCAAGGTGTGTGGCGCATTTGCGTTGTAGATGTCAATGGGTTCCAGTAACCACTTAACACCAGGTGGGCTGTGAGCTCGTACACCCATCTAAGCAATAAATAAAACTTATGAATCATTGCGTTGCTTCGTCTATAATAATCTGGCAAACGATTTAGTTGACCGAATCGAACTTACCTTGCAAGTTGTCGAGCATGTACGTGATCAGCTTGGCGGTTCCGTTGGAGTCGTTGTATATCGACAGCATCTCCTTGTTCAGGGGGTTCCCCTGTAGCCCGAGCAACTGGAGGTGGAAGAGCCTACCAAGTTCATAAGGCAGTGCTCTTAGGTAGTTATTATGCAGGTGTAGTTCTCTATAACAAATGTATGCGGTTAGATCGTCCCACTTTCATCCAATACAATTCAATCGGTAGGCAGCGACTTGGCTCTACCCCTGGCGTTGCTGAAGTCCATGTGCAACGGTAACAACTCACCATCAGGTGAGCCGTATGCTCGTCTGCCTACACGGGCAATAAAAAATAAAAAAAACTGTCAATTTTTTTCCCCTACCTAAGCTGGTGGCCTTGAGAGGCTATTTCAGCGTAACCTTAACTAGTAGGTGAGCTCACGGGGCTCAAACCGCAGTGATGCTAGCGCTGACCTTAGCAAGAGCAGTGCTTCGCAGAATCTACTACCGGATCGGAAACGCGACCCACTGAGAAGATCCGAATATCCGGAGATAAACTCAGTGTGCTGTGTCTATGGGATACTCCATTCGAGCTTAGCATATTTATTGAAATTTTATTTTGCGTGATTACGGGCGATACGCTTTGTATTATGATTGTGTATGTTCAGAAATCATTAGTATCAAAATAATGCCTGTTTCTACCGCGAACCATTCGTTAATTTCTGGTTTGAATGGAGGGATATTATTGTTTAATAATATCACGTTATTACGTCAATGGGTGTTCCGTAGCTATTCAGGATCACAGATGTTAATTCGTTCACTATTAGCACAATAAAAATAAAAACTAAGACCAAACTACAAACGAACCCTTAACAATATTTAAAAAATAACGGTCGTGGAATACCGTTGGAAAATCAAACATTGAACATCGAACATTATTTGAATATTAACGATCTAATTTTACGGTTACTAATTAAATATGAAGTAAAACATCTGTCGTAGACTACGTCAGCTGGAGCGTTGTAGCCTGCTATCATTTTGTTTACATTATTTGATTGCTTGAATGATCTGTTTTTTTTTCTACAGTGTATTGATCGGGGGAATGAACTTGCAGCCGCGGCATGACAACGTGGATGTCCTCGCTGATCTTGAGACAGGAGGTCGAGGGTTCAATTACCATGCGTAGCTGCTTGACGCAGAACCAGACAGAGTGGTGGTATCTGATCAGGTAAACTAGCAGTAATTACGTATTCTTTTTTTTTTACTACAACATCTTATTCGATTCATAGTGGAAGTCATAAAGAAGCGTATTTCTTTAGAAAAATGTGTACCTGCCGGCAGGATTTGAACATTGGCATATCCGCATCACTCGATACGAGTACACCGCGCGTCTTATCCTTTAGGACACGACGATTAGTAGTGAGTTTGAATAGTTAAAAGTTAAAGTGTAAATCTTCACGGTGGGACTACTGTATCCTACGCTCCGAATCGGGCAAATTCTATGAAGCTCTAATTTCCATTTACTGGTGGCAGAACCTCTTATGAGTCCGCACAGGTAGGTACCACCACCCTGCCTATTTCGGCCGTGAAGCAGTAATGCATTTACGTTGAAGATGTCTATGGGCTCCGGTAACCACTTAACACCAGGTGGGCTGTGAGCTCGTCCATCAATCTATGCAATAAAAAAAACAACTGCCTAAACTATTATTTCCTTATAAATATTTTAACTCTAAGTTTGTAGGACTATAATCGATAATTAACCATATAAGTTAGTTTCATCATAACAATTAACTTGAGGTTCTATTACGTAGGTAGTAAGTATAGGATTATATTTATTATGTGTTTGTATTTTATATGCGTATTATATATTCGTTATTTTTATATGTATTTGTACGAAGTCTTTTTATTGTATCCTTGGATTACGCCTACATCTTCAATTTCTTAAATCGTATGCAAAGGTCGAATGAATATCGCTTTAGTTTTACAATTATTTTCCTTATTTACTCCTCCTGTATACTCTCATCATTTTCATGTATTTATTTCGTTAAATTATTTGTATTGTATTCTATTAAATGACACAAAATATTCAAAGGGCCCAAAGGGGAATGCCCATTTCAGGCCCAAAGTGGACAATAGATTAGAGAAAAAATACTTAGTGCATTAATTTTGTCATAAATAAATATGCATTTACTTTCTTCCAAATGAGCGCCACTCCACTTTACAATAAGTAGTTTAAAAAAAGTAACTCTATTGAAAAAACAAGGTTTTTGATTTTTGCCGGAAAAATATTGCCAGCATCAAAACCTTTTAGTAACCCTTAAGTAAATATTTTAAGTATATAAATAAAACATAAGTATTCTCAAATACTGAAAATGTTTTATTTATATGTTTTATATTATATTAATTAATGAGTTCATAAATCGATTTTAATCGATTATAAGCACATAAAATAACATTCAAGACCATTGGACTTTAACTTGTAACTATAATTGAGACCTTAAAACTTATATCTCAAGGTGGGTGGCGCATTTACGTTATAGATGTCTATGGGCTCCAGTAACCACTCAACACCAGGTTGGCTGTGAGCTCGTCCACCCACCTAAGCAATAAAAAAATGTTCTCTCATATTTCCGTTATACATACACACAGGTGAAAACTATAGTTCGAGGTCGTTGACTTTAAGTGTTTTTTTTCTTCTAATTCCTCAAAAATTAAATATCACCTTCAAGGCTCAGTGCTATCACGAAAAGTCGTACTATCAGGGTCAGGCGCGAGTGCACTGTTTACGTTTCAAAAACACACATATTGTATATTGTATTACATTGTATACTAGCTTTTGTCCGCGACTTTGTCCGCGTGGAATAGTTAGTTACTTTGGTATGCCAGCCTAAATTTTACCCGCCTCTTCATTTACGTAGAAAGTGAAAATATTTTTGAATAATAGAATGCTAAGGAGCTTTTTAAGGTACCAAAATCACACTTTTTAAACGACTTCAAAAGAAGAAAGTTATCAATTCGATTTTTTTCGAGAATGTTTGAATCGATTTTTTTTTTGTTCGAAAGGGTATACTTCTAGCATGGTTCTGAAATCATCAAGATCTGATGATGGATCCTGGAGAAATCCAGAAAAATCCAGTTTGTATTGACCTTAGCCTGATGTTATATATAGCTTATAGCCTTCCTCAATAAATGAGCTATTTGACACTGAAATAATTTTTGAAATCGAACCAGTAGTTCCTGAGATTAGCCCGTTCAAACAAACAAACTCTTTAGCTTTATAATATTAGTATAGATGTATTTAATTTAAAACAGCTACATTTAAACTAAACTAGTGGACCCGGTGAACTGTGTTCCGCCACACGGTTTATTTCAAACACATCAACCGGTCAACTTCAAAATTCTACTATAATTAACCATAGACTACATTACTGCTGTCAGTTTCGTTTTGTTATTCCATATCAGTTGCGTTTTGTTATACCACGTTTTATGATGTGATAAAAAGTATCCTATGTCCTTCTCCAGGTTCTAAGCTACCTCCTCACCAATTTTTAGCCAAATCAGTTCAGCCGTTCTTGAGTTATAAATAGTGTAACTAACACGACTTTCTTTTATATATATAAAGATTATCATTGTCAAACAATGACGTCAGTATCAAAACAGCGTTGTGTATAAACAAAAAAAAATTATATCTTCGAGATAATGATAAGAATGCAGCTTTATAAACTAGCAATATTAATTTGTATCGCGTTCGGTCGACCAAGGTCGTTGAACCCGGGCTTGTTATGATAACTAAGTGAATAAATTTGTAAACAGATCTAGTATTATTGGATACGAAACGAGATCTTCGGTTGGTTGATTGATATTTTTTATATAGAAAGGCAAGCATACGGCACACATGATTTCGAGAGGCAGCCATTCCTATAAATCACTATAAAATAGACATTACCACCATTCTTGCGGTATGTCAACGACGAATAATTTTCTTTTTTAAATTTCATAATGCCTACGAGCATACCCGATGTTGAGTGGTCACTCGTTGTTGAACTTCAATGTCAATGCCAAGGACATTGCCAAATTGCCGTTTGCCTCTCGTCACTATTTTCAAACCTCATTTAGAACCGAATAGCGGCTTTGAGGCAAACATACAATACATGCAGAACCCGTACGAGCTCAAAGCACGCCCCACCCTAACGGTAAACATTGTCTAAAGTCTAAACTAAACATCGATAAGTACCAGAATCAACATCGTAAATTGGGATATTAATCAAATGCCATTGACCTTTTTTGTCGTTTAATGCTTTGATAAAATAATCTTCGAAGGAAAACGATTTGTGGCATTTACGTCACTAACAATACTTAACATCGATATGAGTCGACTATTATCAAAGCCGGCAATGTGACTTTTGGACAATTATTGGTAAATCAGAAAAACGAATTATTGACTTTGTATTCCATTGGCAGTCACAAAACTCTTCTGAACGACATCTTAGACAGGTTAAGTTAATACTATATTTAATGCAGGTTTTGAACCGTATTCTGTGAAGGAGACGATTATATTCAAATCAATCTGTATTGCCATATCAATAACATTTTTTTGTCCAAATGCACAGATTGCCACCTTTGATAATAGACGACTCATATGTTTATTGCAAACGGTAAATAGCCCGTATGTTGAATTACAAATATAATCGACAACTCGATGGAGGTTTAGAAAAGATCGCTTTGGGCTTGTGTAATCAAACTTATCGGGCCGGTTATTTTTAAAGTCAAATGCACTGGGTATTTAATGGTAAATCAGGAAAACGAATTATTGACTTTGTATTCCATTGGCAGTCACAAAACTCTTCTGAACGACATCTTAGACAGGTTAAGTTAATACTTTATTTAATGCAGGTTTTGAACCGTATTCTTTGAAGGAGACGATTATATTCAAATCAATCTGTCATTGCCATATCAATAACATTTTTTTGTCCAAATGCACAGATTGCCACCTTTGATAATAGACGACTCATATGTTTATTGCAAACGGTAAATAGCCCGTATGTTGAATTACAAATATGATCGACAACTCGATGGAGGTTTAGAAAAGATCGCTTTAGGCTTGTGTAATCAAATTTATCGTGCCGGTTATTTTGAAAGTCAAATGCACTGGGTATTTAATAATGTGTGCTCGGTTAATGACTACAA